GCAGGATTTCACAAGCCCTGTAGGCATAGGGTCAAGATGACATGTGGCGGGCTTTGAGTTACATATAAACTCAGAAATATCAGATAATCAGGAAGATGGAAAGTGGAAAACGGCTCAAAATAGAGAAAAGGTTCTGGAGAGGGGGTAGACACAACAATTGAACTGAGTTGCTGGTGGATGTTATTGATTTTTGTTGTCCAGAGCAGCATCAAGGAGTTACAGGTTTCTTGTGCCTTGTTGATTCGAGTCTTTATGCTGAAGTACATGGTATTTGTAGATTTCTGCATCAACAGGAATCTAAATAATGGCTTGCTGCTATCATGAGTGTGCAGTGCTCTTGGCTTCACCGTCTGAGCTGTCTTTTGATTGTGACCCCTGGTTTCAAAAATGCTAAGCAATGGAGGAAATGCTAAACTTGAAACTTGAAAAACAGCAGCTTCTTTTGTATATAGTGTATGTTGTAACATTTTATTGAGCTTCATGGTGGTAATATTCAATTTTGATACATTTGTGCTATTTCAGGCCAAGAAACAACAGCCAATCAGCTGGCTTTTTGCATCATGGAACTCGGAAGACATCCTGATATACTGGAGAAGTAAAAAGTCAAAATATAGCACATAACAGTTTCCATTAGAATAAGTGAACTTTGGTTTCTTATGGAGTTTTCTCATTTCTCAGAGCGAAGAAAGAAGTGGACGATGTTATTGGGATGAAACGTGAAATAAGCTACGATGACCTGGGCAAGTTGGTCTACCTGTCACAGGTACATGTGGCAATTTGAAAATTGTGGTAATGTTTTTAGTGTGATTTGTAATCTCATGTTCACCCATGGATTCAAAATTAGTCAACTAACAATGAAAGACTGCATCAACAGTAAACTTAGGCTCTCAGTCTTGTTTTTATAAAACAAGATGCACCATAAACGTTGTAATCTTCCCCCAGGTGCTAAAAGAGACTCTGAGAATTTATCCCGTGACTCCGGCCACATCTCGTGATATTGCTGAAGACATGGTCATTGATGGTGTCCACATACCTGGAGGATTTGTTGCTGTAGTGAGTCATAGATTTTTTTTATGTGTTTCTAGCTTCAAAGCAGAAAATAAACTTCTGTTTTATATAATTATAAATAATAATGGATTGGATTTATATAGCGCTTTTCAAGGCACCCAAAG